CACATGTAACTCACCGATGTGTACGATGGGTTTGAATATTTTAAAAATGTTCACGTTACACGTTCCGAATTGAAATTAATCTGCCGTGCAGTTGATCGGACGGATAAGAAATACTGCTGGACGGACGTTGCACGCGTACGATTCAGTAAGGCACGATAAATCAATTAAACTTTTGTACAACACCCTCGTGGGTACGCGCCGATCGCAAAAAATGTCTGCCGGAATGAAAACGGTTGGGAGGTACGTGGCTGTTATAAACCGTGGTATCGTCCGATGATCGTGCTCTTTGGTCGTCTTCGACAGCGCGCGCATACAGACGACGGACGAGTTCGTAGATCGTTCTCTTACGTTGTGATCACACGACGGAACACTTACCCCGGTGTTCATCCAGATGTCTTCATTTCCATCGCCGTACGGGTTAAATCGTTCCCCGGAACGTATCGATTGTGTGTGCGAGCGCAGTTCACGTATCTATTATTTGGATCGACGAGCAACAATAATTATCATAAAACGTACACGGGGACGGGCGAAAAAAAAACGGGATGCGGTGGCAAGACCACCTGATCGTAAAAGCGATCCGAGAAAAATCAATCAGCCTAAGGCTACCGTGCCAGTCGTACATCATTATTATTTATTGAAATATGATTTTAAACGGTATTTGAATGCGCGCGTTTGAGCCCCGCGTATATTTAACACAGGATAATGTGTAGTATGATATGCACTACCGTGTTACGTGCCTCCTTTAAATGTACAAACATACGTGCAGGTACAATCCGGAAATGGGAGTATGAAAAAGATCGCAGCTGCGACTATCTTGACGACGAGTTGCACCCCGTGTCCGAGGTTCATTTATTTATTTTTTTTCTTGTCTATCAACGTTTCGTATACCGACGATTGTGTACAGGTAGGTTACAGGTACGTTTTCGGTAAGACGACAGCGTTTTTTCTTCCACGCTCGGTCCAACCCGTACGCCGCCGAACGGTAGACATTTTTTTCATCTATTTATTTATTTTTTTCGTTATTTTATCAGTACTGTTATACTACAGTTGCGCTCGGGTTAGGACCGATGAATTATCAATTCATCACTGCATGCCAGCCCCGGCCGATTTCGTCACGGCGGCAGGGGGAGGGGGGGAAACCGGTCGTCTGCGGCATGCGGGATCTCCGGCGTGTATAATTTGTCTAATGCACAACAATAATTATGACTCGTCGTCGTCGTAAGAACGTATTATTGGGTCCAGCAGTGGTCCAGAATGCATTTAAGACCGGGGCTCGTTCCATTATTCGACGACGAGTTTTTCTCTCTAAAAGGGTCTGACTGAATATCGCACTTTTTTCGACCGTCGTACCACCTCCACCGCGCCACCGTCTCTTGAACGCGTGCACGAACCACTCACGTCGACGTTATTACACGGTACAGAGGGGCACTTGCACGTATATGTGTATTATAAAGACGTTTCGGTCCGACTGATGTGTGCGACTCTAACTACCGAGTATTGCGAGTCACTTAAACGCATTTACTTTTTTTTTCTTTCTCCTTTCATTCCTTAAGTGGTGGCAGCGGTTACCTACCGTAACTCGAATTTTTTTTTTTTATTATTATTTTTAATTTTTTTTTTTTTTTATTCACTACCAGACGAGACATCGCCGACGCCAAATACCACCGATGAACTCTCGTTTTTAGCGCGTACACAGGAATTTTCTCGTCGACGTAACGGTTTATTGAAATTGACGACTTTCGCCGGGCTAGGTGACTGTAGTGTATAAAGACCGTACTGCGCATCGATGGCCTATTGCATTGTCCGAAAACACATTTATACGCGAAGTCTATGCAATACGTCTACGATCTGTGCAGAGGTGGAACTAGAAATTTTTACGACCGGGGAAAACGTAAAAATTACGCCCTATCGTAAACCAATAATCAAATACTCTTCTCGAGAATTTTTTTTTCATATATAATTATAATTATTGAGTTTTAACCTAATATCAGTATTTAACAAAGTTAAAAATATCAAATTAGATGTTAATAATTACAAAAATTACACCCTCCAAAAAATTTTACGCCCGGAGATGAATCCCCGTCTTCCACCCTATAGTTCCGCCCCAGAATATATATATACGGATATACAAATATTTGCTACACAAACTTTATTCGTATATCGTATGTAAGACCGATACGGTGACGACTGCAGTGTCCGACTGGGGTTATGCCATTTTTGTTCAAGATCTATGGAATGAACAAATAATTCGTGTTGTTCTACGCTGTCCGGCAAAACGTTGCGCACAAGTGTACACAATATAAATGTATATAGGTATACCTATAGTGTTCATGTGTGTTATAACAATACTGATAATATGTGAGTAATGCAATAATTACAGAAAGTCCAAAAATCATATCTGTTTACATGCACCATTAAGTCATATTATATTTTACAATTTTTATACTTTTTTTTTTTTTATTTAATAATTGCTGCGCTTTCTGTTTAACAGTGCCGATGAGTTTTTAAATAAATTTTAAATTGAAAAACCAACAACAACATCGTTTTTCGTAAGTGTGCACACATTTTGCACACATAGGCGCGGTATGTCTCGTACACGGTATGTCTCGGCCAGCAGCGATGAAATTATTGCTCGGTCACGACGGTACGTCACACCACTGTGCAGGAATACAAGCAACTACATATATACTTGGTGCATATATATCGTATATAAATAAATATATAAATTGTATACGTTTTAATGGGGGTGGCACATGTTTCGTATGGATATTGAACAGCAATAATGGCGAAGGAAATAGCGCGAGATAGCGAATAGCGCTTATAAGCGAGTACTATAGTACTATAGTATCTGTATTACATTCGAAAATTTGATGAAAATCGATATAATATTGTGACCAACTATTCGTAAGAGTCGGTTGCGGCGTATATTTGTGCTTATATATATATACTATGTATGTATATTTATAGCTTACTCATACTTTTTGTTTAATCCAAATTCGAAGCCTACGTATACTTCCGATGCTATTGTTTTCTTTGAAAAACTGTTTAGCTCTCGTGTATATTAAGTATATTAAGCACATACATATCCGAAGCTATAGGTTCTGTACCCGTGTAAAAATATTGGGGAAAAAAAAAGTGACTCGAATTAAAACAGTATTTATAATCGTGTTTAATGAAATGTGTTTTTGAATAATACAAATAATTTAACTTTACTCGAAGAATTTTATTATTTGTAACTAAAATTAATTATTTTGTTCGTGAATATAAAATTTTTCGTTTAATTTAGCCTTCAAGCTAAGTTAAATTATTTTTATTGAATAAACAAATGTAATTAAGCACAGACATAAATAATTTCTATTGCTTGATACTAGTGATGTTGTGAAATTACTTAGCCCTTTTTTGGTATTACAACTTTTCTAACTTGACTTTTATTTTTATTTATACCAAGCTACGTTTTTACATGGAGTTGACGGAATATTTTTATTGCGATACACAAGGACAAGCATTCGACGCTATAAGTCCTCTGAACACATAGTATACCGCAGCTACCTGTTCGTAGCGCAGGACGAGTATAACGCCTGTACCTATATCCAGTTCGTCGTCGCGTGTTTAAACCGTTTAACGAGCGGAACTATTTTGATGTAAACAAATCACCTATTTATATTATATTTCCTTTGGCGTTTTATTATATTATTATAATTTATTTTTATTTTTTTATCACACCTGTAGTATTAACCTCAGACCACGAGTAGGTGGCTGATTGTGTACATACTTGCCTACATATACGGATGTACTTAATGATACATATTCAATATGACATTGTTCGACTTCAAGTCTTTATCGATAAATCAACCTGTTATAATATTTGACACTTACTGATACTATCGACATTGTTTTCCCCTTCCTATATGTAACACACGATGGTTAAATCTGGGCGATAAGAAAACATGCATTACAATTAATATTATCACTATATGCACTGTACAATTTCCAGATATCTTTTTACGAAAAAACAAAAATCAACTTTGTTAAAAAATGTAATTGATTGAACTATTTCTGTTTACAAGTGACATAAATGATAATTACGACCGTGATCGCATTAATATAAATAAATTTGGTTCTTTTATTTGCACGCTACAAATAAAAGGATTCCGCGCGTACTGTAATAATACTTTAAAATGATAATAATTAAAAAAAAAAATAAAAAAAAGGTTTTATTTTCGAACACATTTCATAATATGAAATATATAGTATATATAATATATATATAATATATGGCTATATTAAAGTTTCGTTAAACCATTTTAGGTAGATATATTTCGTTCTCTTGGACAATTCGTTTTTTAAAATCGGACTAGTTTTTATTATGTACGTAGCGAAATTAATTTTCACTTATGTAAATCAGCGCGAAAACCTGCAGTAAATACGTAAGATCCAGATCGAAATACGGTGTTCGGAATAAATGTAAATTTGATTAAATTTCGAGAACGAGTTTATCGATACGCGCGTGCACGGTACATTTAACGGATCGAAAACACGCCATGCGTGTAGGTATGTGTGTGTGTTAATTCAAGAAGTTTTATACGTGCACTGGACGCTTATTTTTTTTTTCCATCTACAAACGACCCACTAATAATTAGAGACACTAAAAATTATTACCGACGACCGTACGTAATAATAATATATAGGTACGTGCGCGTGTGCGCTGCACATACGTACATAAATATGGTCGACTGTATAATATCATATTTATTTATTATTATGTTAATCTGGTCGACATAGGTCGAATATTAATATTGATTCGACGTTGTTTCTTTTCGGCCCGCAGTGTAGCGACTCGAAAGTGTACACCAATCGATTCGATTTCGCCGACGTTTAAAATATTACTGTACCTGCACAACACACGTACACATATAATATAATATAATATGCAAATAATATAAATAAAATTATTTGTACCGTATACGTTTTTTAATTTTTCCGTGTTGTTTTTCCCGCAGGATCGGCTAGCCGGACATGGTACAGTCTCGTCAATCGGGGGTGGCGGAGGCGGGGGTAGCGGCGGCGGTGGCGGCGGCGGTGGAGGCGGAGGTGGCGGCGGAAGCGGCGGTGGAGGCTCGTCACCGTTCAGCCCTCACCACCATCACCACCATCACCACCACCGGAACACGACGCCCACCAACGCCGGTTCGAACATGGGTGGCCACCATCAGGACTTCCAGCCGCCGTACTTCCCTCCGCCGTTCCCGCCGGCCCATCACCACCATCAGCCGTCCGCCGGCAACGCGTCCTCGCCGTCCGCGATGGACTACATCAACGATCCGTACTCGCAGACGCTCAACAGCCTGCACCAGAGCGCCCAGGCCGCCGCGGCCGCGCACCACTACAATCAGCTGACCGTGGCCGCCGTATCCGTTGGTCAGCGGCACGACGCACTCCGACGATCCGACTCCGAATCCCTACACGTGGTGAGTTGTTTACCTTTGCGTCCAGTTGTCGTTCAACCGCATGAAACACGTACACCGAGTTGTTCTGCTGTAGCATAGTGGTTGGAATGTTTCCAAATGTGCCCTTTCCAAACGCACGTTTAATCGACTCGTGGGCACTTATCCCCGTCAGCCCCCTTGGGTTACTATAGTTACACCGTCTTCAGGCATGTTAAGCTCAAAGTATCTAACTCGGTCGAAAATATTGAACGCGATACTCCGCGAAAATTTATTCGAAAGTAAAAAAAGCCTCTTGTTACTACGTTTTAAATATCAATTGTGTCCAATTTGTGTTGACATCAACACAAAAATATGTATTGTAATTACAAATATTTCGGTTAATTTTACGCAATATGTAATTGAAAATTGTTTGCGGACGAGAAAAAAAACTTAAGGAGAGATTTCTATATCTACGTCAATGGTCGGTCGAGTTCGAATTTCTAATTAAACTAAATAGCAACGTGCAGCTCATGTACACGCTGCAGTAGCGTAGCTGTAAGATTTTCCAAATGAGGCTGCAATAAATTAGACTGAACAAGCGAAATTTTTTTTGTTATTTTCTTTGTTTGTTTTTTAGTTTAGAAATAAATACTAGCACATAGTGCCCCATAACATCAACGAATATCAATTATAAACGATATAATCACAGAGATCGTCTTTATTGTACAAATAATCACCAAACAGACAATTTGCAACAGAGTGTTAAATTATAACCGAAACGTCATTATATTCATTTAATCGATTTTGTACATTTAACGCTCACTTCATTAAATTTGTATATTCGTACACGTATATATATAAAAAAAAAAAAATTCCAAAAATTATACGACCCACGACGCCGACTCGTTCTCTTCTCCGGTCAATCCGCACCGCGCACGTAGTACACGATACACGTACCCGTGTATTATACCCATTATATTTCACACACACCCATTTTTTAATTTTTATTACGAAATCGCACCAGTCCCGTTCGTTGGCCGACCGCAAAGCGTTCCCTCGGAGGCGTCGGCGAGTGTTTGTTCCCGCGCGTTATTACTACGGCACGGCGCGTGCATTTTTGATGTACGATTTCCAACGTACAGCTGTTAAAAGCGCTCGTCGCAAATGACACATTAGTGGACATCACCTCCGGTTCTCGGTCACACGATTTTTACCGCGACCACGCGCAACCCAGGTCAATAACGGTTTCTATTGCATTTTTCACGTCGAATTCCGTTTCGGTTGCCGAAAAGCGCACACGATCCGTCATAAGCTGGCGGTATTTCTCGTATATAAACATAAATTTCGCATACGATCTCAAACCGTACAACCGCTGCGCGCACTGTACAAATGATTACACGTCACTCGTGGAACACGACGGTTATACAACATTTTGAACGGACACCGTGTACTTATGGTGAGCATGACATTCGTTGTCGTTATTGGTCCGCGCGAATCGATCGATCACACGCTACGGTTACGAAAATCCCGAAAGAAGCGATTGGGCTTGGCTGAAAACGTGACCGATTGCGCGTGCAACATAAACGATACGATACAATATATGTATATTATGTATACGACCGTGATCGCCGTACGTCTGTTTGACGGCCCCTCGCGATCCCGCTGTCGAACTTATCGTCGCAAACGATTAACCATGGGCGCAACTAGAGCTCAGATATTGGGGGTGCTGAAATTGCTGAATATAAAATGTATCTAACCATAATTACTATAGATTATATAGATCTGAAGGGAAAAAAACAGGTGCTAAAAACCCTATTGCGCCCCCCTAGTTACACCTATGTGTCGTTCGATGCGCATTTCTGCAGTGTTGAAATTCGGTCGCGGCGGAACAATGATAATCATCACGATCCCGTTTGCACGCATTACAGTAGGCGTTGCCGGGAGTCAGAATGTCGCGATCTATCGCATTTTGACCCCGGTGTACCGCCGTCAGTGGTGGAGAATTTCATTAAAGCAGTTGCTTCATGACTGAAATAGGGTAGGTAGGCAATGTTGTACAACAGAAAAGTTTAATACATAGTTTGCACATTTGACATTAAATAATATTATATTTTATTTTGTTTGGACTTTTTTATTTCAATAAAATTTAGTAATTTTAATGGGGTAGGTACTCGACACACGTAACTGCTTCATTGGAAAATAAACTTCGCGCCGCCACTGACTGCCGCGTAGGGTAACGAGTACGTGTGTCACAGCGGAACAGTTGCTCGGCAAAAATTGCAAACCGTTCCCGCGCCAGCAACCGACTCGATAAGATAACTTCCATCCAGACCCCGTCTCGCAATAAGTGTTGTCAGGATATGATGGTACGGATTTCGCGGCACACGACACATTTTGCTCTGCGGTCAAAAATATAAATCAAGGAGAATCCGAACGGAACGCTTTGCGATCGTGATTACGATCCCGTCGTTGTCGAGCGTCGCTGCTACCTCCTGTTATATACGTTTCGCGCTCGCTGACCGTGTGCGTGTGACTTACGCGGAAAGGAAACAATATCGATGCACATAAGTTTCACAATGGCACCTCCGTTTTATTAAATTTTTTTTCGGTATATCATTGCGATAACTTATCGTACGTGCATCTCACGCGTGTGTAACGTCCTACATACATATCTACACGTGCACAATAATTATACTATCGTATTTGTTTTTTATTTTCATTACGTTTTTTATCCATTTTTTTTTTTTTTATGTACACGTTTCGACGACAACGAGCGCGTCCTCGCCGTTCTCCCGCAGTTAGTGCGTTCGCCACCAGAACTTATAACACGTTTACGAATACGTACATACTTGCCTGATAAACGACTTTAACACGCCATCCCTTGACCACGCCCCGAGACCGTACACTAATAATACCACTATCTTTGCCGGGAAATATTTATTATCTTTTCGTTTCCCGTGCGCACGATATGTGCCGCGCATATAATATCTCAACACGTCTACTCGCGGTGGTGCACTGCTGTCTCCGAAGAAACGTGACCCGGCTGGCCCGGCCGCACGTGCAACTCTGACCCGTAAAAAAAAAAAAAAAAAAAAAGAAAAAAAACGGTCGTTCAACACCGGTGAACGCGAAACCGTATGCGCGCCTGAACGTACATACCGCCGTGGTTGACGGTCGTTTTCGTTTTTGAAACGTACCCGTCGACAACGATAAATTGGATCGATCGCGCACGTGCGCGCTCTTGTCACATTTTTAGATCGCGTACAATGTACGCGGCAAGAGGTCGGAGTTCGCGCCAACGTTATTAAAACGTATTGGGTGGTGGTGGTCGCGCGCGCTTACACCGGTACCATGAGAGATCGCGTAGTCTTGACAAGCCGCGGCGCGAAAACTACTCGTATTTATACGCGCAAACGTGTATTATATTTACGGGCACGCAACAGGTCCGATTTTTAACAACCGCTGACCGTTCGCGGTGGTAATATTATTACCAGCGCGTGCACGTGTGCAGCAGCAATACGCCAGTCTTATCTCCGCCGCGATGTCGATCGATAAGCGTGCAATGCGCACACACGAGAATGTACGATACGGTTAACAACACGCGCGGAAAGTATATTTGAAAATGAGTTGCTAATCGACTTCGCGCTGGTCGAACATCAATTAAACCATTTTTCAAACGCGGACCAACGGCGCACAACGTGCACGTCATGCCGCTGAAAATAAGTACGCGTACAACGGTGTTGAGATTACATTTTTATCTTTATCATTCGCATGCACGCCATTTTTATAGTCGGTCGAAGAATTCGAAAGCGCACGCGAATCCGTATCCCGAGACAACTTGGTTGTTACGTACACGAGCAGGAACTGCATACGCGTGTCAAATACCATTGGACATTTCGACTCAACGAATATTATCAACGCGTGCGAAACGTTCGGGTGACATTTCAGTTCGACTGGTCTTTCTCATAGCGTTCTGTACCGGGATAGTAATGGTGTGCGATCGCGTACGCGGTGAATGCGACGGTAAAATCGAAACAAAATCGTACGTTCTTGCGTTGTATTACACGCTCGGCGAGATGGTACAAATGTACACATGCGTGTGTTATATTTTTACGCTCGCGTACGCGCTATTAGGAAATAATCGATTTCGTCGACGATCGCGGTGAACGTTGATGAACATAAAATAAATTCCCGAAACCCGTGATCGTCGTCCGGTTTAAAAATTTCGTTCGAACGCCACGCGGTCCGGTGGCAGCGCATATCCATTACCGTGACGCGACTTCACAGACTACCGTTCGTGTACGTTATTATTATTACAACAGTGGCGCGCGCGTTGTCGAGGGCGGCGGAGAGCAGTAGTCGATCGCGGCGGCGAATACCTATACAGTAAATATACGTGTGCACACACGCGTACGGACGATTATTATTTGTACGCGCGTACAGGCACAAGAGTTAATTAAAACGGGCTCGCGCGAGCTCGCGAGGCCATCTATCTGCTCGCGTACAACAGTCATAATAATAGTGGTACACATATACGTGTACATGTATAAAGCGGAACGCGCGTGAAATCTTCCTAGTTATTTTTCATTTTTAAAGCGACCGAGAGAGCGAGAGAGAGAGCGCACACTCGAGTAATTAATATACACAAACCGCTCGCGCGCCGCAGCCCCGTTAATGGGGTCCCGAGGAAATCGATTCGATCACTTTCATTGTGAAAAGTGGGCGTCTCATAAGTTACGCGGCCGCCAACAGTCGATGTGTTTTTTTTTAATTACCCGTCGTCAGAATTTTGGTCAACGGGAAAAAATCGAATCCTGTCACGGTGCGAGTGTAACATAACCGCGAAAAAATCGCCCCCCCCCCCCCCCGGGCGTCTCGTTACGCGTAAGATTCGAGTTCGTGAGTGGTGGGAAAAATCGAAACGCTGCAGCGCGATTAATGTTTAAGGGATCAGACGACGTTCGAGTACCGCGAGACGCCCGCGCGTTTACCCTCTCGAAACAGCCGTGGGTATATTATATACCCGTTATACGTATAGCGTATCGTTATTGATGTTATTACAATGTAATACGTGCAGTGCGCTCGGGGTTCGGGTGAATATTATAATGTTGATCATAATAACTATACACGGCGACGGCGACGGCGGCGGATTCGTTCGTCGAGAATTCCGACGTACGTGGAATTCCGGGCGTTTTAATTATGCCGGAAAAACGATGAGGGTATAAAAACGGTTGTTGTTATTATTGCTGTTAACGACGCTTACAACGCGAGCGCGTTTATAATCATATATATATATGATGTACGTTGAAAATATTATGTACACAAGGACGACCGAAACCGAGATTTCGGAATGTCAAAAAATTTTAATTTTTATAAGATGTTTTAATAAAATTTCCGTCTCGAGGGCGAAACGAAGCGCTGTATTACGATCGCATCGTTATTATTATACACGTCGTGCACGCCGTGTTCAAACTTATGGCGTATATTATTATTGATTTATCAATAATTATCATAATATAATTTATTGTATCGTACGGACGTCGCTCGTTACCGCATAAACGCGCAAAATACGCATGGGACAAAACCGCGCATGTATATTTTGGACGATTTGCGTCGCTTGTCGACAATGATCTATGACGACATTGTTAAGATTGTATCCGCAGTGTACAAATGTGTTGTGAGTTTTCAGTCGGCTTTCAGTCTTCGAAACATCGTTCAAATTCATTTATTAAATTTATTTATTTTCATTTATTTATTATAAAATCATTATAATGATTAATAATGAAAATAAAATAAAAATGAAATAATAATTTTAACTTTTAAAACAAATTTATTATTTCTCAACGATAATACGGAAACTCTTTTAGCCGGTGGTACATTCACATATTACCCCAAACATTTTTTTCAATAATATACAATACATGGTTTAACAAGAGGTCACTACGTTCCGCTAGTGTTTTGTGATTTGCTATCTAAAACATCAAAATATTATATTCGTATGTGGACAAGTATAAAAAACCTATGTTTACAATAAACAGATACCAATTTCAATCCACCATTATTATTTCTCGATTTTGAGTCGGAGCTCATACTGCAGCGAGTAATGTATTTAAAAATATTAAAATTAAAGCATGCCGATTTTATTTATGTCAAGCATGGTATTGAAAAATAAATTCTATTCGAATACTTAATAAAGAGTGCAAAGATAAAAATTCAGAGATTGGAAAGTGGCTTAAAATGTTTTTCGGATTACCGTATTTATCGGTAAATTTGGTTTCCGATGCTTTTCGTGAAATTTCATCTAAAACTCTAAATCATCAAAAATGCATAGCATTTGCTAATTATGTACTTGAAAGTTATATTAACACTGTTCAAGCAGAAGTACTTAGCTGCACACTTTTTTGTGCTTGCGTTAATGAAAAAATCTAAACCAACATGTATATAAATGTGTACATGGTTAAAATAACCGACGGATCGTAAAAAAAAGTTTTTAAATGCGCATTATTGTTATTATTGAACGTATTGCGCTCGGCAGCATATAAAATACCTTTAAACTTTTACTTAATAATACGGTTTAGAATTAAATTCTTGTAAAATACACCAAGTGTCACGATTATCGTAAAATTACGTGTTGTTCGACTTGACATATTTTTTTATCGCTCAATAAATACTTCCTTCGACTGATTCCATAATATCATGTAGGTATGTACACCTTGATTTTTATCTGTGGTACATCACATAATATAATATTATACCTCTCCTGAGTAAAGATGATTAACGGCTGTATAAATGCGTTCAGCGTACGAGTACATGTATAGTACACAATACACTGTTCTAGTTTTATAGTTTCAAAACTGGTTAAAAAAAATCTGTTTATGCCGCAACCGAGTTTCCTCGAATACATACACCTACGGCTTTTTATTTTCGTTTCATACGCATGAACATTTGTATAAATATTGTTGTGAGCTCCAGGATAAAAAAAAATATTTATTTATCTTCGAAATTACGTGAACACGTAACGAGGAAAACGTAAAGAAAAATTTACCAATTCGATCTTTGTTATTTTTACAATACGATGCCATTAAAGTACACTCATTGTCGTGTATATTTATTTATTCATCCGGGATCGATTACATTACACAGATTGGATGGATTTAACATATTAAAACATATTTAAAAAAATAGATTAAAATACAATATTAAATGCATTTTATACATTTAAAAATATGTATTGACAATAATCACAAAAATGTCGGAATTAACGTTTTTTTGAGTCACCTGAAAACCAGTGATATTTTACTCGAGCGTGGTCAAGTATGACAATACCGTCAGTAAAAAAATATTTTCAAAACCAAGAGACTTACCCAAAAATGTACGTATTAAGTGTTTTAAACGAGTACTTCTTAAACGGGTTCTGCCTTACATATGTTCGTATCTCTCTTTTTCTGTCTGTCTCTCTCTCTCTCCCTCTCTCTCTCTCTCTCTCTCTCTCTCTCTCTATCTCTGTTTGTCCATAAATGTATAAATATGTAATTAATGCCTCGAATTGAATACAACAATAACAATAATAACGATAGCTCGTGCCCGCACTCGTACGGCTATTTTGTAATATTACACGTATGATCCGATTGATACGCCGGGCACAGACAGGATGTATAACGAGGAGAAAAAGTATAAATATAAATCAATATCGCCAAAAAAGAAAAACTTTCTCGGACAACCGATCGAGTGTGCAACAGTTTCCGATGGGTGCCCTTCCGTCTCACGTTTGTGGAATGTAGTCGTACGTAAGCATACGTATATGTAGTGTGCGTTGCTCGTAGCTACAATTGACCGACCGATTGGACGTCGTTTTAAGACGTGTATCATATATGTGTATCATATTATACCTGTATATAATACCTGCCGCGACCGATTTGGGCTTGGTACATATTATAATACACACACGTAAACGGGACCGGATCTGTAGACACACATACACATACACACTAACTAATAACAATAATTATTATCATCGATACGCATAAACACAAGACGGCGGCAAAAAGGACGACGACGAACTTATACATCGAACGGTGTGCGGATTTTATTTAGTTATTATATATATATATATATTACAAGACGATGGATCTAGGTTATGCGAACGTACTGCAGTGTTTCTTAACGAGAGAAGTGTGCATTTATCAAAAAAAAAAAACCTCTCCCATATCTGGTTACTAGACCCGTAATTATAACCGACAAAAAAAAAAATTAAAATAAATAAATAATAATGATAAAAAAAAAAACACTTATTCCGGCGCATATATAGGTAGTCCAGTACACACCATGACGATTAATCATAATCGAGTGATTGGTCGCAATACTCTCTCTCTCTCTCTCTCTCTTTCTCTCTATAAAATCGTATAGGGATATATTATGATATACAGATAATATGCGTTTTATTCGACACGCGTAAACTCTATAAATTATATTTTCTTCGTTATTGCCCCGCTTATCCTGTATCGGTTTGTGACGTAAGTCGTACAATAAAAGAGAAAACTGTTCGATTGAATAATGAACATTACAATAATATTGTACGATTTAATTTGCCACCATTATACGATAAGACCTGCAGATACATCGTTAACAATATTATAAACATTATATTCTTGGCAATATTCGCACGCTGTCGCGAAGCGATAAAAATATAATAAAGGAAAAAAATATCTCAAATGCAACAGTGACATTTCAAGATGCGTTCGCTACGGTATAATTATTCAGACATCATACGTTTACGTATTTCGATTGTTTCGTTCGCTCGTGAGTAATCATACTCTTTAAAAACGCAGTAAACGCACGTACAATGTCGGTGAACAAAAAGTTAGAAACAAGTTAGAACAAGTAAGAAGCACGTACAAACCTCCTCATAACCAATTTACTACTAAAAGTGAATTATCGAAATTTTAGAGAAAAAAATGATAATACTGAGTTGAACAGTTAGTAGCAAGTAGTGTTCAAACGAAATAATGTAAAACCCGAGTTTATGATGGTTCCTACCGCGAAACACAACCTTAAAATGCACAAGTACCAACTGCGTTAGCCATATCTACCCAAATGTATAATTCATGCATGCGTGATTTATTTTTTACTACGCACTATGTCTAGTCGTTACATTATATTATTAAAATGTTGTATTACGTTTTAACAACTACACGTTTTTGCTTTTCGATCCGCAGGGAAATATGCACCCGTCTTTCCCGTACGAAAGCGGTCGTTCCCGAGGTGGCGAATACGGGTCGGGCGTCGGCGGAGTTCGAGGCCGAGGCGATGTGCTGGTCCAGTCGCATCCAGGTCTGGAAGACTCGTTGGTCTTACACAACGCCCTATCCAGCGTGGTGGAAGAAGCTCAGGTGAGTTATTGATTAAATTACTATACTGTTCACACCCGGTGCATATGCGTGTATAATATTATGTTACGGTACATACCGTATAGTTACGATGTATGAACCGAAATACATACAATTTCTACGGACTTTGGATTTGTATCAGTCGCTCAAAAAAACTGTGCCACGCCACGGGTGTCAAAGACACGCCTAACGAGCAATAAGGGTTGAACCGGTCGTGTTTAAGCACCACACACAGGCGCCCAAAAAGGGGTGTACATTCTTTCCGGTTTCGTTTATTGTGCTTCGTAATTTATAAACACGTTACGTATTGTTTACAAATCATTGCTTAGCTACACGTTTATAATGCAACCTATTATAACCTACAGTCACGTATGACGTATACGTATAAAATAGCGCACTCGACTGATGATTGATGAGATAATTCGAAACGCGCATAGATCCAACGGTGATCTCCGACGGTTGTTAATTACAAAAACAAAACACCGCCGACTATCGGAACACCATGAGGAATTTTCCCCGAGTGATAACTTACTACTGTCCGTGCAATACGCACCGACGCGACTATATTTTTATCGTACCATCGTTTCGACGGACGAAAATAGTATCGGTAATCATTTTACCCCCGGTCCTATGAAACAGTACGAATAGCTGCGGCGGGTTCATAAATCTTCCTTGCACGGTTACAACCGAATTCACGTGCTCCACAAACGCGCTACAAGACCATCGGCCGTACTTCAGGTGTACGCGTATAGGTCGTATTATCGTCGTGTTCAATATTGTAGTGCGTTGCGCACCGAAGTTATTCGATCACAAATAACAGTGCACGAATGATGTGGTATACACGGTATAATGCAGCGGTAGCCGTGGTACTGTTGAGATTTAAATGAACACGTACAATATCAATTATTAATTATTACTGTCGGCGTATATGCTCCACGTGACCGGCTATGGCGATGTACTTTTTTGATACGTTTTTTTTTCACCGGGACCGTCGACACTCCTCTAGGACGAAACGCACCGCCACCGACCGTTATACATTATAATACGTATTCCTCCTATTCTTACCACACACACACACACACACACACACACGGAATCAAATGCATATTACACGTATAACGTATAAGGTATATTAGACATGACGAGTTCAACCGTCGTACGTGCGTGCGTGTGTGTTAGACAGCTCCCGAGATACGACCGCGTTTTAATTTGTTTTAATCGGGTGCGCCCATAACTTGTTACGTCCCCGAAATAATATAAAAATAATATTACAATCGTACACGTTACGTAGTAGGCACCTGTGTATAGTAGACAGTAGTAGTATAATAAAACCAAAACGCGTTTTTTCTTCTTTTTTTTTTTTAAGTGGCCTTTTTGAGTTCAATTTATCTTCGGCCGAGATTGATAGCAATTATTATTATCGACTGTATCTTATGTAATAAAAATATTACATTTTTTTTTACGCGGCTATCATATTATTTGTATACCGTGCGGGCGCAGACGATTCTCACGTGCCCCGTAGACGTGTAATACTCAATAATAATAATTGTGATAATCATAATCCCGCGCGCGCATTTTATGACGATACAAGATCCTGGTTGTCGTTACCATGTATATACGGCCGTGCGTGTGCAATTAAACCAACCGGTGGACTTCGGTAGCCCGTTCAAAAGTGGCGGATCAACGGGGGGGGGGGGAGTTAACCTACCTAAATCTTATGTATTATAAAAATATATTAAAAATCAATAATTTTCATTATCAATCACTAACTGCAATGTCATAAAAAATATCCCAAGGGAAAACATTTTTCAACCCCCCCCCCCCCCCCAAAAAAAAAAAAAATAAAATCCTAGATCCGTCACTGATGTTCAATACACACCCGCGCGCGTATGTAACGGATATGTACATGATAATATTATACACGCATAGTGGTATACACCTATAACCGGTGCGCATTCATTGAGTATTACAATATTGCGTGCACACGTCTTGTGACTGATTTTTTTAATTTTTAACTCTCGTTTTTTCAACAGGAACACAACGTGGACGATAGCAGTTCGTTTATGAACGATTTGCCGCTACTGAAACGTAAGTACACACCGCACGTATGTGTACATATATATATTATCAATTATATTATACTCCTACGGCCGACGTACAATATCATGCACGCGGCTTGCGCTCCGGAAAATAATTACATATTATATTGCCGTATGTTTGTGCGCGTGATGCGATATTGGATTCGAACGGCACACGCGCAAATAATCGGTCGAGTACCGGTTCGGCATGCGCGTGTATAGGTCCGCACGCGCCGGCGCGTAAAGGACGGACGTATGATATGAGTGACTACTACGCCATCACGACGTTTCTAGATCTCCGAGGGGTGTTTTGTTCACCCGAGGATTCAATTTGGTTATTTTTATTCTGTTGCGATTTCAATTATTCATCGTCAAGACCGGGCATTAACGAGTTATTTTCTCCTAGTGGTATACCGAACAGTTGATTAATTTTTTAGTCTCGTTTAATTAATTTTTTATCGAATCTAAATAAATCCTAGTGATCAAAAATATAAAAATACAATTTTTCCAACCAAATTACTGTTTCCAATAAATGAACGATCGGAAATGTAAAAATTGTGGAAGTGTTGAAGGCATATATGCGCTATTTCTATACGTGTCAAAACAACGAATACATTTATCACACTATTATTTAGTAAAAAAAAAAAAATAGTTCTATTGACTAAGTTAAGTTTATTTTCCCTTCCATTTAACTTTTATCTTATAAAGCTAATAAAAAAAACAAAAATTCTAATCTAACTCTAGAGTAACCTTAAACCGACGAGTTGTGCACGTACCAGGTGGTGGTGGCGTTGGGTCATTTGCTGTTTTCGCTGAACATAATATTTGATAAAATAATTAGTTTCTCGATAAAACAAGTCAAACACAAGTCGTTCTTTTTTGATACATATTTTAATTGTATACACATATGAATACAATACTAAAATATTACTAGGCAAAAATGCTAACACTTCTATGCGAAAACGGTGCGTCGCCCTCATCCCCCATCGATATTGTCGCTGATTGGCCGGCCGGTGGGGCCAATAAAAAAAAAAGTTCGACGTCCCGCTGACGACAACATTTCGAGGGTCCTATTGCCCGAGGCTCGGGTTCCCAGGTGCTTTAGCGCGCGCTCGTTCTCCCCCCTCAGATTTTCGAGCCTAATAAACCCATTCGGATAATTATTTCATTAAGCACGAGCATACACTATATTATATATAATTATATAACTGTAATAGTGTATATATTATGTATAAAATATCAGAATGTAAGTGGTACCATAACACCCGAATCTCATCGTTCCGGTCGGATGGTTACTTTTATTTAATTGTCGACGAGCCCTCGGGGCTCTACGTCAGGACTGCAGCAGTTGTAGCCAGGTCTTGGTTGAGCTGTTTCAACTATGCAGTGATTTAACGATATGATTTTCCACTCCGTAGTACACACACACACACACACACACACACACACACACACACACACACATGCACGCACACGCACACACATACATGTAGGCGCGAACACATCAACTATGTAGTCTTTATAATCCAATACTGGTGTACCAAATTATTGAACAGAATGAGTGAGAAAAAACGTGAAGAAATTTGTTTGCTAAATGGAAAAAGGGGTTGTGTCGAACGTGATTTCGTGCTCGTTATGTTTACGAATGATTTTTTCACCCCTCTAATGAAGCAACCACCACCGTCTGGATTCCAGCATGACATACACAGACACACACACACACACACACACACACACACACACACACACACACATACATGGTACAGCCGCAGAAATCTGGATAATCACGTTTGCCGAAAATTCGAAATATTATGAATAGTAATGACGGCGGAAATTCAAAACGTAGATTTCGCGCTAAGACGACCCCGGCATCGTTATATACATTTTGTTGCTCGTATATACTAACGGTCCGTGTTATATGTATATATAAACAAACACGTAGCACATTTATGTCATTGTGCAAATAATAATTATAATACTCGTTACACTTCCAAGCACGCACAGCTATATAATTTCTGAATAATGACGTATACGAATAACGTCTTGTGTTTGGTTCGGTTAGGTCTTTTTTTTCTTTTTTTTTTTTTTAGTTTCCGCTTCACCCCACGTTTTCACACCTCTATTATGTGTACTTGTGTATTAGATTCGTGCAGTACATACATACAGCCAGTGGTGGTACCGGTACCCTGTGTATATGTGTTAGTTTTTTGGGCGTCTACCGGGAACTGCCCAGAAAAACACAGCACCCCTCGAGTAGAGTATATTATATACGGCTAATTTGGGGTGTGCCTTTTGACTTGACGGGGGGGGCGTAGTGAACATCTGTTGTATTCGTGTTAGCGAATATTTTTTCTAAGTTCCATTGTTACGTTTAAAAAAACAAAATCGTTCACCCTCGTCCCTCTGCAGCAGCGTACACGCTACATAAATGCGAACCTGAGACGTTCAAAAGCGGGTTTTCATTTGAGTGGACGTCCACGTTTAATATTCGCCTATTGTGTTTGCTGTATTATTACCTCCGGCTAAATTATTGATCAAACGGTCGGCTAGACGTTTTTGAGTAGTATGTACCTACTCGTATAATATAATGGTCGAACAGTTTTCGCGGATTTGATCAATGTACCCAATTTTGAACTCGTTTTGTGGAAAAACCTCATGGTACGAATTCATTACATGGAGTAAAAAATAGATTGTTACCGTGGTGGCCTCTTACTCCTAAGTATCTTACCTCTTATATTCTCTCTAAAAATATCAGTAAAAATAGTTATACCAAGAAATGTTAAGACGTTCGTTCGTTTCTTTTTAGGTATGTCCACAACTCCTTCAGATGTGTTTTGCAGTGTTCCCGGACGTCTTTCGCTGCTCAGCTCTACATCAAAGTACAAAGTAACTGTCGGCGAAGTTCAACGTAGGTTATCGCCTCCCGAATGCTTAAATGCCTCATTATTAGGTGGCGTTCTCAGAAGGTAACTATAAACATTTTTTTTTCGTTAACTTAAGTTTTTATTATTTTTTTAAATTTTTTTTCGTAACATATTCTAAGAATAAAACTCATACAAACTCACATGACCGAACTATTTCTATGACTTAACTTTGTTTTCATGTATATATATGTGTAAGATTGGTAAAAGAGTAACAACAAAACACATTATCTTACAAATTGACTACACGATTGTTAAAATGTAAGTAAAAACCGTTATTCTTACGGAAATGTGTTTGTATCGCGAATAAATCTCATTTCAAACCATTAAAACTATAGTTGCTACAGTTGATAATCAAATATGTATTAAAAAAAAAAAAAATAATAATAATAATAAATTAAAGATGTATACGCTGAAAATTAAAATGTATTATATTTTACGAGCACAGTGACCCCCTGAGTGAAGGGATACAACCATTGGCAATATATTTTTGTAATATATAGTTAAAGCGTATATCTTTATGTTCTTATATTTAATAAGTGCAAATTGCTAATACTCACCTTGCCTAGGTAGGTTGTTTTCCTTGTTTAATGTAAGTTTTATTTATTTTTGTTTTATTTTTATGATTAACATAATAAACAACGTTTTTTTTATTATTAAACGCAATAAATTCTTTAGGATTAACTAATTTACGATCGGCTTTAAATAAATTCCTTATGATACTATAGAAAAGGAGCTTTCTATAATACACGCTATAGTATCTATAGTATATAAAAAGTCCATCGTACTCAGGAAACACCTGTTGTGTTCTCCGTGAGTACTTAAAAACGCACTCGGGTACACCTAAAAATTCACTTAACGTATTTTATGTCTACCGAATAACATTCCTGAATCGTTAAGTCCTTTATTTCAGTTTTAATGATGTTCTCTACGATTGTTAATCATTTCACATTTTATGTGTATATAGTCTTTATAGGCCTCCAATCATTGTACTTATGGTCACGTGTTTCAAAACTAGAGAAAATAATCGCAATAAAAAACAATTTACTATTATACTTTATAATATTACATGACTGCAGCCATAGAAGTAGGTAACAATCGTATGATTCGTATATGTATATAACGTCAAAATATTTCGCTGAGGTCAAATTATAACTGAAATTGTGAATGCGGGAGGCGGTGGCTGTCTGTATAGCTAATACGTTTTTTTCTGTAGCACAATAATAGATCCTTCTAGATGATAACATCAGTGCGTTTATATTATATAGTCTGTTTAACGATGTTATCACGATGTTGAAAATCAGGACTCGTAGTGCAAACGAAAACACGAACAACGAAAAAAGACAAGTATCTAAATTCTCTCTCTCTATATATATATTTTGTGTTATAACTATATAATGTATAAGATATATTACGGGGGCGTCGCGGCCGGTCGGGATAAGGCGGATGGGTGTAAATCTGAAGCTAAGTCACCGGTTTTAATTCGGCCGTCGATGGTTTCGTTTTCCGGACGGGACGACCGCCCTAAGAGTAGAAACCCCTAACGCCCTCTCGTTCAACTTGTTTGCCTTAAAAATAAAAATAAATCATCAATGATGATAACGTCGGAAAATACACATGTAAATGTACAAAAAAGTGTACTTCCTTGTCGTGTACGACAACGACAACACGTGTTTTTGGAATATCGAATAACACGTTTTTTTGCCCCTACGGTGTACAATCATAAATATTCAGTTGTGTATATATATATTATGTCATATACCGTATATATATAAATCGTATTAAACCTGAACTGCTGAATGAAATGGAATCGGAAATTTAACTGGTTTTTGTTTACTATTATATTTTTATTATGAACGAGTTATTCAATCGCACGAAAATTACGAAAATACTTTTCGATGTTTTCGTATGATAACGAGTTATTGAAAAAAACAAATCATCGAGTTGTGTCAATCATATTAGAATAAAATTTATAACTTCAATTTTTGATATCACCGCGAAACGAACATGATGATGATATTAATATTACTAATCAACTGATGACTAATATATCATATGACATTAAAACGTGATAATATTTTTTAGAGCAAAATCCAAAAATGGCGGTCGGCTATTGCGTGAAAAGCTCGAAAAAATCGGCTTAAACCTACCGGCCGGTCGAAGAAAGGCCGCAAATGTAACGCTACTCACGTCGCTGGTCGAAGGTAAGATATTTATTATTTTTTTTCAAACATATAAATACCAGATGCAAAGCGTGAAATTATCTAAAACGTTAGTGCTCCCACAAAATAATCCTATTATAAACTAGCTGAATTACTTGGCTTCGCCTGAAAGATATTTTATTATTTTAGGTAAGAAAAATTACACAAATCTTTAACCTAAATATTATAAGTTGAAAAAAGTGCAAAATATTTGTATATTCGAATGTTATTGATTTTTTTATTTTTTTTTTTATTTATAATGTATATTAATTTACCTATATCGTAATCGATGGTTATAACCAATATAACCATAATATATGTATTTTAATATATTAAAATCAATATATTAAACATGTAATAAAAAAGTGAAACATTTATACATCTAGCCCAAAATCGTTTCGAAATTTAAAAATGCGATTTTCGAAAAATCCCTTCTTATTGCACATATACAGTGTTAGATGGACCACTGTTCTAAATTTCAAATTCAGAAATTTGTAGAAATTTGTTTACTAACAGTAAGTAATAAATGTATTCTTTATAAACCTATTGGCTATTATACCTATACGGTTTTGATCGAAAAGTATAAATAAAAGTAACTTTAATCTTTTAAACTTCATTAAGTAATAAGAAATTCTTATTTATAACTTATAAGTTATATGTAGGATGTGTTTATTAACTATCAATTTTTTTTGGGCGGAATTTACATGCGCCCGGTATTTGGCTTGGATATACATACGAAGAGAATTGTATTTCGGCGAAAGAACCGTATTCCTCGGTTTTAGAGATTGTAAAGACGGGTCCGTGTTGCCCACACAGCCAACGTGGTCTCCAAGTAGGGAAACGAGAAAACACGAGGAAACTCATCCCGTATGTGCAAACGCGTATTAAGCTTAAAAGCGAGAAAAAAAACAATGGTAGGCTAATCAACTACGGTAGGCAAACACAAGATATACTGTTGGTGAAACTGTGTCGGTGGCGTTCGGACGTCCGCGATGACCCACATCGATACGTATTTTAATATTTATTTATACATATACTTTGTACGGACGGGAAACCGTCGTAAGGATTGCTGTGGCGTATACGCGCGCGTCTTGTGCGAGGTCTTCGCGTGCACGATAAATCTCTCGTCGAGACCGTTGCGCGCGTGTGACGTCACGTAACCGCTGCTGTCACTCCGCCACCGGATCCGGTAACGACGACCGAGCGGATTTAACGACAACGTCACGGTTCAACGGGAACGTCGCGATTGTGACAATATTCAAATCTTCCGGTCCGCATGTCCTCGACTCGCCGCCGCGCTGAACCGCAATAACAGAAATACGCGAAAACCACTCGCGGCAGCTATGTAACTCGTGTGTTAAGAAACCGAGGAGGACAGCACGGGAAAAGATATCTCGCCGCACGCAAAACCATTGTCGAACGGCTTCCGGACGACACAGTGGCATCCTACCTTTATTTTAACGTTTTTGCCGTTGAGATCGATTCTCGATGCGGTGCATTGCGCATCGGTTACTATACTAGTATAGTCACCTGTGTCGACGACACGCCCACCTCAAGGAGGCCGACGATCGATCCGAAAATCGGACGATGCGAGATCGTAAGCGAACACGGTTCGACCCGTCACCCGGACGTACGTGGCACAGTCGCGGGTCACGAGAAAACAACATTTCAGCGTTCCTTGGACCGCCACAACGGTGGGCGATTGCATGGCAGAAAATCCAATACGAACGCGCTTGTGCGCCTGTTCATCGAGATACGGTCTGCGAACGTTACACATCTATTACGTGGTGATATTTTCGTGTACGTACACATGCGATGTGTGCACGGAACGACCGCAACGGACCGACGTGCAAAACCGAAACGTGCTTCATTTGCTCACCAAATTAATGTTTGCGGTCCGCAGCGGTGGTGAGCAGGAGCGCGCGCGCGAGATCGTTTCGTTCGCGCGGTCACGCCCACCACTGGCGATCACCAGCGTTTCGTCCGCGTCCGGAATTTCGCCGGTCCGGAAACCGAGTTCGTTAATCGAAATAATAATGATAACAATAATAACAAACAACAAATCCTCCTCACCGTGAAGGTAATAGAACCTGGATGTTTACCGAACACCTAAGTGTTTCGCGAACCGTAACGACGACCGCATGCCAATATTCTGTATGTTGTGTCTGCGGCGTAAGAAATATTTCTTGTTTATAACGTTCACGCTCGCAGTGTGTGCATTCGGTCAGAAGAGTACACACAGGAGCTTAAACGATTTTGGACAACCGTTTATCGGAATGGGTTCGGCAACACCGTAGACGCGGTGTAACCGGTGTGTGGTCACGCGCGCGACGAAACAAGTCAATTGCAATTCGAATTCGCGACTATTTAATGATAGGTACTATGCTCTTCCACCGGCATTGATTGTTGCGATTCGAAATTGGTTTTTTCAGTCATATTATGCGTAGAAATATCTCCAACGTGAATATTAATCGTTTTTTACCTTTCTTTTTTCTGCATTATTTTATAATAGAAATATATATATAATCAAAGTAGAGATTTCATCTCTTAACCGAAATAAAAAAAAAAAAAGTTTGTATTTTTAATTTCTATAAAATTGTAAAATGGCTATATTACGAAACATGTGTTTTTGTTATGACAAATTCAAAGTTTTGCAACTGAAAATCTAATTATTAGTTTCATATTTATATTTAATGTAACTTTAAATAAAAAGAAAGAGTATGCAGATATCTATCATAATGGCCGTTGTAATAAACTAGTTTAAATTAGATAATCTTTTCAACAGCTGAAGGTATAATATTAAGTATCGACGTTATTTCGTCATTGCGAATCGCGATAGTGAAATACTGTTTAAGTCATGTGTAAAGTAAACAAACTCAACAATCACTACCATACCCTTCCTCAAGGATACCGGACTCGACTAATGAAATTAAAAAAATAAATATAAACTTTTTTCTGTTAATTAATGTAATGCACAATAATAAAGTTTTTTGTAAAAATATAATGTATATATAACTAATAGCCACAGCAGCCGAAGAAGTAATATAAATCAACAACAACAAAACCTTCAACTGCGACCAAATGATCAAATCTATACTTGTGTAGTCGTTATACTTAAACTTATACATATCATTGCTACAAGTGCAAGTGCGAACACTGAATAACAATTTAATTACAAGTTGTTGTTTCATGAAACGGTTGCTTCGCGGTATTCCGCGGAGATGGAAAAGCTCAAAGTTGATTTTTCACGTCCCCGTCAAGGGGATGAAAATACTCGGGAAAACGAAATACCTCACCCGACACGGGTACTATCCGACCGCATGGGGGGCATGCGACGCGGGTCGTTCGGAGCGCCATCCGAGCAAACGATTTATCATCACGTTCCGTGTGCGTCGGAGATGAAAGATATCGGGGCGCGCGCGATACGTACGTGTATGCACACATATATCCGTTCGATACGATTGCAGGCGGCTTCGTACCACGGGGACGCGGTTCATGCGCACCGTCCTGCCGGTCATCCGGACGTGTCGAACCGTCGTCGCGATTGACCCGTTATGATCGGCGGACGCGCTCTGCAAAGGCGAGTGGGAAGCACGGCGCGCAGACGAGACGGCACAATAAGAGACTTACGTAAGACTTACGCTCCGCGGGCCCGCCTGATGGTTAGCGCGCGCGCCCCCGGTGCTATTGGTCGAAGAGAGTTAAAAAGTGCATTCACAGCTACGTCGTTTGTCGTGTCGGGCGATTATGGTCGCAACTAGTAACCACCATATCGGTTGCTATGGTATCTATGGATTTCCGTAGAGCCCGCTCGTTTAAAGAAAATTAATCGACTTGTGGTATTATAAAATTTAAATAATGACAGTTGTTATAACCAATTACAATTATACGTGACGATGACTACTTTAACTCGTGCTAATTAGCTATAATTTTAATAACCGTATCATGTATTCGTGTACGTCTAAATATATTTATATTTTTTTCTTTATAAAACGGTCCTTTTCAGGACCATCGTATTGTGAGTCTAAAATACGCAACAGTGATTAAAAAATAAAATATATAACCACGAAATGACCGTACGTAGAAGAAAATTTTTGTTATAGTATGTGTGGCATGGGTCCCAAATAAAAAAAAATTAGGTTTAATGATAATTCATATTTGAGTAATCATGATCATATCATATTATTACTATATATATTACTATTAATATTGATGATAAATTAATAATCTTTAACAATATACCAAATACGATAAAAGTTGAGCTGCATAAATTCTTGGTATCCTCGGTTTTAACTTGGTTATACTATCATATCAAAAGTTAAACGTCCAATCAGAATGCGGTTTGATCGACACGACGTATATGTGAATCCGGGTTTATCGTCCGGGACGATGGGTCGCGCGAGATATTAACGCGGTTTTGTTACATATTCAACGACGATCCTCGGTCGCGCGCAGCAACAGGTGTCGGTGTCGGCGAATAAGAAACGGTTTGTGCACTCGTTGATTTATGGCCGGACGATCGACAACAATGGTTCTATCGGCGCAACGGTGCCGAGGTGTAAAAATAGAAATAAATAAATAGAAAGAGGAGAAGAAGAAAAATAATAATAATATTAATAAAATAAACATAAAAAGGCGGCAGCCATAAACGCGCGTGCGCTGCAGTGTGCAGCGGTAGATTAAATAGATTTAGATTCATCCGATCGTAATCGTACTCGTGTAATATACACGTTGGTATAATATTTTATGTATTATTGTGTGTAGGTACCTCGCCGCACGCGATTTATCAAAAAAAAAAAAAAAAAACCATCGAAAGCAAAAGAAAATTCTCGCTGTACACCTGTATTGTGTTCGTAATACATGATATTATGTACAATATGATATACTGTAGTATTATTATGTACGGTGAGTACGATATATCGTATAATGCGCCGCCGACATCGTCCCTGAGGTAAAACGACCCTCGAATTACTTGAAATGTATTATGTACATACGTTTCCGTT